GTGCTCTTCCGATCCCCCCAAAACCCCAAAACCCCGTTATTTAACATTGAATTTTAATATTTGAAAACTCTAATACTTAGTTTTAATTGTTAAATTAAGTTTTTTGCAGAATTGTTAAGGTAGTTGATTGATAGATTATCGATATTTCAAAGTTAGGGGATGAATGGGAAATACCCATCGTTTTCATTAATTCTGTATTTCTTCTAGAGCTTTGTAATGGTCCTCATAGCATTTGCATTTCCTGCTCTTGCCCTTCTTGTTAAGCCATTAGATACATCCCAAAATAGCATCTATCTGGCTCTTTATTCTGCTTCTTCAGATCCATCTAAGACCATTCCGAAACCTCCATTAGTTGCTTTGCCCCAGCCAGTACCACCTCCATTATGGATTGAAACCCAAGTAGCACCTCTCATCGCGTCACCAATAACATTTTAAATTGCCATATCAGCAGTCAATGAAGATCCATCATATATGTTAGAGGTTTCTCTAAGGGGTGCATCTGTGCCAGAGACATCATGATGATCTCTTCCGATAACTATTGGTGCTCTAATCTTTCCTTCCTTTATTGCTCTATTCATTCTTACTGCGCATTCTATTCTTCCATCAGTGTCTGAGTATAGAATTCTAGCCTAAGAGCCAACAGTCATTTTATTCTTCTTGGCATCTTTTATCCAGAGCATATTACTAATGATTTATTAATGAATCTCAGGCTCAGATACTGCTAGTTGCTCTTCTAGCACTTTATGAGCAATTTAATCAGTATAAAAAAGTTCCTCTTAATCACCTGAAGTGCAAACCCATCTATATGGGCCGAATCCACAGTCAAAATATTCTGGCCCGAGTATGTCTTCTATGTAGGATTTGTATCTTGGGGTGCCATCTGCCAAGTAAACATCAGCATTAGCTTTACCTGCTTCATAAAGGAATGCATTACCGTAGTCAAAGAAGTACATATTTGACTTTTTCACCAATTTATTAATCGCGCTTATTTGTCTTCTTAGAGATTCCTAAACCTTTTCTTTGAATACTTTTGGATTTGAGATCATTAACTAATTTGCCTCATCAACTGACATTCCCTAAGGGTAATAACCCCCGTTGAAAGGATTGTGCAAAGAACTTTGGTCAGACCCAAGCTCCACATCGACGTCTGAGTCTGCAAACTTTTCCCATAAATCAACCACATTACCTGCATATCCAATGGAAATAGCTTCTTTGTTTTGCTTGGCTACTCTAACTCTAGCAATGAGTTAGTCCAAGTCAGTGAATTTCTCATCTAGATATCCTTATTCATGTCTTTTATTTAGTGCTTTAGCGTTAATTTCACCAACTACACAGATACCTCCTCCAATAGTAGTGGCCTTAGGCTAGGCACCTGACATGCCTCCTAGTCCTGATGTCAAAAATACTTTGCCTTTTAAACTTGGATTGCTTGGATTTTACAATTTAGATGCTTATGCTACAGTAATTGCAGTTCCGTGAATAATACCTTGTGGACCTATGTACATCCAGGATCCTGCAGTCATCTATCCATACATAGTAACTCCTAGTGCATATAAATTATTGAAATTTTCTATATCAGAAAAGATGGGTATCATCATTCCATTCGAGATTACTGCACTTGGAGAAGACTTTGAAAGCTTAGGCCAAAGCCCTGTAGGGTGACCACTGTTCATATGAAGACACTGATTCTCGCTCATTTACTGCAAATACTTAAGAGTGATCTAGAACTATCCCCAGTTAGAAAATACTGCTCCATTGCTTCCATATGTGATAAGTTCTTAAGGAAACTAAGCAACTTTTGGATCTAGGTTATTTAAAATCATATGAATCATCGCTCTGGCTTCCTTTGTTTTGCCTGGGATGTACTCAAACGGCATTGCTTCAAGGTGGGCTTTAGGCATGTAGTTGAACATATAGATATGACCATAGTCTTCAAGTTCATTTTTGAAAATCTCACTTAACTGGGGGTGGAGATCTTTAGTGAAATATTTGAGATGATTCTTGATTGCCAATTCCTTTTAATTTTCAGTCAAGGTGTGCTGTCTTTTAGGAGCATGATCGAATTGAGGCTCGAGAGGTGGTCGCTCTGGAATATTGGCTATTCTGTTTTAAGAATCGAATTTAACTCTTTGAGTTATTTCCTCTGCCAACTTCTGATACCTGGTTGTATTTGAATGTGAAAAATTTCTTGTCAAATATCTTAACATTTTAAAATGAATTATTTAGATTTGTAAAAGATTTAACTGTTATTAATTAGCAAACTCTGAATTAATGAATATGATAAAGTTAAGAAGATTTTGAAATTCAAAATTGATTATTCCTACGGAACATGCTTCCCCTCTTAATAGTATGTGAGATGAATTAAGAACACTCGTAGTGGTAGTAGGGAATCTATGCTAAGCTATCAATTCCATTCCACACTAATAAATCGGCTTCCGCTCCTTCATCAATGATTCCTACATTGTGTCTACCTAGGGCAATAGCAGAATTTCTAGTAATTCCTTAGAAAGCTTCTTCTACTAGCATTTTTCCATAAGTCATAGCGAAATTCATCATCATCGGTTGACAGTTGAAGACAGACGAGCCAGGATTATGATCTGAGGCCAAAGCAACTCTGCATCCTGCATTTATTAGTTTTCTTGCAGGGGCAAACGAGTTTTTACCCAAATATATTGTAGTGCCTGGTAGCATGGTAGCAACCACTCCATTTTAGGCTAATGCCATTATACCAGCATCTGATATCGCCATTAAGTGATCTGCTGAGTGAGCTTTCAGTTTACCTGCTAATTCAGCTGCTCTCGAATCTTCGAATTCATCAGCATGAAGTCTTAGATTCATCCCATGATCTCTAGCAACTAGTAATAATCTCTCAGCTTATTCAGCAGAGAAATAGCCATTTTCACAAAACACATCGCAATACTCAGCAATGTTCAACTTTGCCACTTCAGGTATCATTTCTTTGCATATAAGTTCTACATAGTCATCCCTTTTCTCCTTATATTCAGGAGGGAAGGCATGAGCTCCTAAGAAGGTTGGGACTATATCAATATAATCTTTATACTCCTCTTTTAGTCTTTGAATAACTTAAAGCAGTTTGATTTCATTTTCAGTGTCTAGACCATAACCACTCTTAATTTCAACAGTAGTTGTGCCATTCAATATAAATCTCTATACTGACTGCTTATTTCTTTCATAAATCTATTCAAGAGTAGCTTCTCGGCAAGCTCTAACTGATGATAAGATTCCTCCTCCGGCTGCTGCTATCTCTTAGTAAGTCTTATTCACTCTCATTGTAAATTCATTCGATCTATCCTTGGGTGGGAATATATGGGTGTGAGGATCTACAAAACCAGGAGTAATCATTGCCTAATTAACATCGATAATACTCTCCTTGTCTGAAGGATCCTCTACATTTTAACCTATCTCCTTTATTAATCCATTCTCAATTAGAATCTAGCAATTATTAATCTGAACTAATTGATCTTTATTGTTAAACCCAGTCAAATTCTTGATATTGACTAGTTTGATTGTACTGCTTGGATTAAGTCTTTAGAGAAAACTTTAAGATTTCGATATCATTTTAGATTTATTAATAAGATAATACTTATTCAATAAGATTTGTAAGTTTAGATAAATTAAACTATACTAAAATGCTGCTTAAATTCAGAAAAATTATGAGACAACCCATCAAGCAAAAGAGGGTTGATAAAATACTTATGGATGGTAACTCTCTAGTGCTCGAGGATTTAGTACAATTAACAAAGGAAAACGCTAAAATTGAGATAGCTCAAAATTCATGGAAAAAATTAGGCGAGGCTAGAGCAATAGTAGAGAAATTATCAAAGCAGGACGAGCCTGTCTATGGGATCACTACTGGATTCGGAAGATTTTCAAATGTCAAAATTCCCTATGAGAGTTTAATAGACCTTCAGTACAATTTAATCAGGTCTCATGCCACAGGTGTTGGTAAACTACTCCCACTAGATGCAGCTAAAAGGGTGACTGCATTGAGAATTAATACATTAGCTAAAGGATATAGTGGATGCTCACTAGAAACTGTTTAAAGGTTAGTAGAGATGTTCAATGCAGGATGTATTCCTTGGATTCCAGATCAAGGTAGTGTAGGTGCTTCTGGTGATCTTGTTCCACTCGCTCATATAGGCTTGTCTTTGATAGGAGAGGGGTTGGTATGGAACCCTAATTCCTTAAGATATGAGCATTCATCAAAGGTGTTTGAGGAGCTTGGTATTAAAAAGGCGGAGTTAAAAGCGAAAGATGGATTATCTCTTATTAACGGAACTTAATTTATCTGTGGAGTTGGATCAATAGCCGTAGAAAAAGCCTTAATTGGAATCAAAAGTGCTACTATAATTAGTGCTCTAAGTTTCCTCGCTCTTAAAGGGCATGCAGATGCATTTGATGAGAGAATTTAAGACATCAGAATACATTATGGATAAAAGGTTATAGGAGAAGTGATGAGAGAACTGCTTCCTTATGGGAAAAACATTGAGAATAAAGATGATGTACAGGATCCTTATTCAATGAGATGTATTACTTAAGTTCTTGGACCTAGTTTTGAGGGGGTATTTTTCTCTAAAGAAGGCATTGAGATTGAAATGAATACTGGGAGTGATAATCCATTAGTATTTAGTGATAGAGAACCGCATATTGTAAGTGGAGGCAATTTCCATGGTGAATTCCCAGCTAAGCAATTAGATGTTTTAGCAATGTACAATCATGAAATTGCTAGTATAAGCTTTATGAGGGCTAAAAGGCTATTAAATCCTAACAAGAGTCTTGGAATGCCAGCATTTTTGACGATGAGAGGAGGCACTAATTCAGGTCTAATGACTTGGGAAAACGTAGCTGCATCTTTGGTGTCCGAGAATAAAGTGCTTTGCCATCCATCATCAATCGATACTGCTGAAACTTGTGCTGACAAGGAGGATCATGTTTCAATGGGAGCTTTTTCAGCTAGAAAAGCTTGCATTGTAGCCGATAATGTCCTTAGTGTACTAGCAGTTGAACTGTTAGCTGCAGCACATGCACTATAGTACAGATTTGAGCATGAACCTGGGTTTTCTATTTATCACCCAGGTTTGAAGAAAGTCTACGAGAAGATAAAATCAATCTCTCCTCCTCTACATTCTGATAGATATACAGTACCTGAATACAAATTAATGAAGGAGTACATCAGCTCCGGCGAGATGTGGGATACAGTTCAAGCTTTTATGGGCACTAGTAATTATGGAATAAACTTCGCTCATGCAGAGGGTGATTCATCTGGAAAACTTAGAATTCAATAAGTTCCTAGGGATTCAGAGGGTAATCTTAAGTATACTAAAATGAGAGAACTTCAAACTTAAGCTGGCCAACTTTAAAAACTTGGCTTGAGTTATAATAGCATTAGTGAGGATGAGTTAAAGGAAGCTATAATGTATTACAAGAAGTATATCAAAGCTGAAAATGTAGTGTCAGTGCTTGATGCCTCATAGGATGATTTAGGTGCTAGAGCGAATTATGGAAGAGGTAATTAAAACATTGAAGATACAGCTTATGAGCAATTTTTGCAAAAGTTTTCAAACTTCCAAGTCAATAGATACAATCAAGATGCAATTCAGCAATGCTTATTAATTGGAAGTATTGATATCTAAGACTTGAAAGAGCAATGCAAGAATAAAAATCCACTTAATAGAGACGAGAGGTTGGATATGATTCATGCTCTCAGATAATTAGATGAGAGAAGCCGCAGAACAGTGAAGACAGTATTTGATTCACACTCAAGACTATTCTATATGAATGGGGATCATAACAACATGGGATATATTGTAAGTGGTTTCTACCAATCAAGAAAAGTGAAGCCCATAGTTATATACTTGGATGTACACTCAGATGCTAGAGTTAAAGAGGATGGTCCACACAGTGGAACCTGGATCTCAGAAATTTATGACAGAGGTGAATGCTAAAATGCGTATGTTATAGGTCTCAGTTATCTTAGTAATTCAGATGCAGCTATAGGCAATTTGGAAAAGAATAATGTTTAATTTAAGGACTTCACTTGGGATGAAATTCAAAGAAGAGGGGGATCTAGCAAGGCAATCCCATAAATGACAGAGCAGATAATTAGTGATATAAAATCAAGGTATGGCAAAAACTATCCAGTAATACTATCGATTTGTGGAGATACCGTTTCTGGATTGCCTTGTAGTGCATCCAATGAGGTTGTAGGTTACCCTGCAGAAGACATATATCCAATGATGTCTAAGATGATCGAAGAACTTAATGTTGAATGCCTCAATGTTTCTGAGCTAAAGCCTAGTCTTGATAAAACTAAAAATAATGCATGTGGAGAATTTTTATCATACTCAGTGTATATGTATTCACAAACTCTTATTAAAAAAAGCAAGTGATATCTTAAATTTCGAAGTATAATGTTTAACTGATAAATAGATATTGATTTTATTTAATTTGGAAAATACTATTTCTAATTAGAGGTTCTACGGGGTTTTGGGGTTTTGGGGTTTTGGGG